TTTCTTTTGAGGCCAGGAATATGTCTCACTCCTGTCAGCTTCTAGGTGGTCTGGTTTGGCAACTTTAGTCGGATATCTCCTTTTCCGACGATTTTTAAGGTTTCATCATCAGCAAGATGAACCTTCCCAAAATCACCACTGACATAGTTCTCCATGATTTCTTGGTATGGGGTGGAGTGGAAAGATGCCCCTGAATCCAAGATCCATGATTCAATCGGACTGTTGACGCTTAGAATCATGGCATCACCTGTCTCCTCTGTCACGTTGGCAGATTCCTGTGCACCGGTATCTTTCTTCAGTGCTCGGCAATCTCTTTTGAAGTGACCCTTCTTGCCGCAATTATAACAGGTAAAATCTTTATTTCCTGTTCTTGATTTGCCCCTTCTGGATTTTGATCTGCCACGATTTGAATTTCTTTATGAAGTTCTCCCTCTAGACTCGGTGTGCAAGGCTGAGGAGGTTGATGCTTCACCCGATTCTCTTCGTCGAATTTCTTCACTCAATACCAGATCCCGAACATCGTCGAATTTTAATTTGCTGTTTCCCGACGATTGCTGACTGCTGTAACAGTAGCATTCCAACTGTCTGGTAGAGATGATAAGAGAATTAAAGCTCGAACTTCATCATCGAACTCAATTTCCACTGAACTCAACTGGGTTGTGATTGTGTTGAGTTCATTTAGGTGTTGTGCCACCGATGCCCCTTCCGCCATCCGCAAATTGAATAATCGCCTCATCAAATGAACTTTGTTTGAGGCCGATGACTTCTCGTACATACTGGAGAGAGCCGCCAAAAGACCCGCCGTAGTCTTTTCCTTTGCTATGTTAAAAGCAACATTGCGGGATAACGTCAGTCGGATAACTCCGAGGGCTTGTCTGTCGAGAAGAGCCCAATCTTCATCCTTCATGCCCTCTGGTTGCTTTCCTGAGAGAGGTTGATATAGATTTTTCTGGTACAAAAAATCTTCAATCTGCATCTTCCAAAAACCAAAGTCCGCACCATCGAACTTTCCAATTTTCACCTTCCCTTCGTCTGCAGCCATCGCTCCCACTCGAATCTGGCTTCGTTTGGATCGTTTCTGACAATTCTTGCGAATCACCGTGTATTAGAACACCACCGTCGACAAACTCGTATCGCCGACCGAATTTCACTATTCACAAAATTCACTATTCACGTGAATAGTAATGAATAGTAACCTCGTAGAAAATTTGACAAAAATCACAACCAAAAGCTCTAATACCAGTTGTTAGGAAAATAAACCGAGTACAAGTAATTTCCCTATAACCAGATTAGTGAGAATGCGAAATAAAAGCGGAAAAATAATACCCGAAAATTAATAACGGAGTTCAGCCAATTGTGCTTACGTCTCCGGGCTGCTGCAGATCTTTTACTAAGAGAGAAAATTTACAGGTGTTTACAAAACACTCACTACTCACAAGAAAGCTCTCTAGTATAAGAAGAAAGAAATGTTTTGGGATGATTTTGAAGCTAAATGGGTAAGGGTATTTATAGTAGAAACTTAGGGACTAATCTTTGAAAATACCCTAAAGTGCAATGACTAAAGTGAATTTACTCATTCCTATTTTCAACAAACATCTACCAAAATTTTACCAAACTTTGAAAAACATTTTTCAAAGAAACATTTACCAAACTTTGAAAAAAAACATTTTCCAAAGTTTGTTGCCAAACTTTAAAACTTTTAACAGCAGCAACAATGTCATAACAACAAGGTTCCGGATTCACTCATTGCCTTGATGGAAGAATTTTAGAAGGATTAATATCAATCTGTTACCTAAAAGCAAACCAGTCCCCTCAATTAATTCCTAACTTAATCATTTAATTAGCTCTTTTTATAAGTTTTTGAATTTTCATCAAAATTCACTTTATATGACTCTATGGAATGAAGTGGAAAGGGAAGAATTCATTACGCAACACCAAAGAACTAAGAATCACATGAATGAGTGATCTTACAAGACATAATGATATGTGTCTGACAAAAGACGAGACTTGACCGGATAAATGATAATTACTTTACTTCTCATTGTAAAACAATATCCAATAGCCATTGTACATGAGCAAAAACAAAGGCATATAAACATCTTGAATCGAATCATTTGTATTAACCTATAGATGCAATGTGACAAATATATATCTTGAAGGAAACATTTCTAACAGATAAGTCTAAAAAGACTTAAAGCCTCATTATAATTCCAACATTCTAAAAATCTTGTCATTTTGATCATTCCTGGCTACATAATCAACCAATTTTTGTCATTGTTTCTTTAAATCAAATTTCTTTCTTTTTTATGAATATTGATGATTTAAAGATAATATATGTTCAAAATACTCTCAATTATTTGACAATGAATGTTTATACACCTCTAAAGACATTGAACTCGAACATGACACCTCAAAGAATGACAACTATTCTTGTAACCATTAAAGTCGCTTAGTTCGTATATAAAACTGTATTTATTATGTTCATAAAACAATTCCATTTTCGCGCTCCCAAGATTAACAATTTTGGGACAACCATCTCGATCATTCTCTTGTTGTGTACACTCCTTAGTCCTTAGTATGCATCGAATATTCCCACTACTCCACAGATAACACACCTACCTTAAAATGAATCGTAACTGCTTTCACATCAAACCTGAACCAGCATGCTAGGACGAACATAGGAGTCACAGATTACACACTTGCCATCGTATTTCTCACATAGTCGTCCGATTGTAATACTAGACTGCTTCCAGCACATGATCAAATCAGGGTGGTGTTTCGCCATCGATGCAACAAGCCATCCTTAGTCGTCACAGTAACTAAAACAAAGACAAATAAAGCATACAAAAAAAATTCAAACTTAAAACTTCCCTCATAAAAATACCATAGCAGTCAACAATTAACCCGGAGAAACATTAAGAAATAATCATAAAAACCATTTTTGAGAAAAAAAAATGCATGCGAACTACAAAACCTTTGGACCAAATATTATTAGCAAAAAAAAAAAATCGAAGAGAAGAAGGGAGAGAGGCAATACTAACCTAAGAGGGTATCGAGATTAAAAGCAAATAGGAAGCAGAAATCCGAGAAGTAGAAAACGGATATGAAACTAAAGAGAACAAAAAGGCAAAGATGCTTAACTTAGTGCGATTGTAAAATCAGAATTGGGTTCTTAAAGAGTATTGACATTTGCTCGGTGTTGATTGCAGAATTATGGTTGATACATGATACTTTGTGTCATGTTTGGAGACTTGATTATTGAATGATGGAGATAGAGATGGATAATCTTAAGGTCTCAAAGATTTTTAATCATACATCTTGTCCCTTATCGGATAATGCCATTGTTGCTGTTATTAGAGCCCTGTTGCAAAGAGATTGAAAGGTTAAGACGAAGCATATTCGAAGAGAAATGAATGTAGTGGCATATGTGTTGGCAAATATGGCTCATGGAAAAACCATTGTAGAACTTGTTTTTGTTTATCCACTAAGAGAGATAACAGATTTAGTATATTTGGAGGCTGATACAAACTAAGCTTACCTTTCTTTCTGTTCTTGTATTAGATAAAAAAAATAGATTGCATTTGAAAAAGAATTAAAACTGAGTAAACTACATTCAATGTCACTTTTGTTTGTATTTTTTCTTATTTTGATTATAAATCCTTCAATTATTATGTTTCAATCACTTATTTATCAAAACGTTTAATATAATTACCGCTTTAGCGGGGTAGACATTTAATCTAAACGATTTTTTAGGTGGAGTTTGAAGATAAGAATGTGTGTTTTTATTTTGGAGATTCATCGGATATGATATCTAAATATCATAAGTAGTCAATGCTCATTGTATCAATTATTGATGCGACCAAATTTGGTTTGTTGATCGTAAGCGGTTTACCTCTTTTGGTTTAGGCGTAGAGCCATGACCGATGTTTTTTATGGAAGAGAAGATAGTGTCGAGGAGAAGACAAAAGGTGTGCCCAAAGTCTAGAGAAAAGAGATCCCCTTGAATCTTTCCTCAGGGTATAAATACCCTGATTATAGGATGATTGATGTCAAGCCTATGATAGTGATGGCTATCAAGTCTATCCCTAACAAATTATTATGTGAGTTATTCATAGGTTCGATCATGAGATTGTTGCCATCTATGGAGTACAAGACTCTGGGTGAACATTAAACAAAATTGTAGTTTTTGATGTGCGTCTTTGGGAGATACCTCCGAAGGTATAACAATATTCATCTTGTACAGTATTATCACATCTAATTTTGGGAGATAAAATAGTCTCACGCAATGCACGAGAAAAAAACTCGAATAATTAGTATTTTGATTTTCAAGTTCAAGTCAAGTCCCTTAATTCTACATTATATATGTATATCGAATATGAAAAATATAATAAAATATAAATGTATATCATATATGGCTATAAAAATATGTTTAAATTAGAATCAAAATAAATGGTTGTCCCTTGTTCCCATATGTAATGGGGTAAAGAGAATGTAAGATAGTAGGCTGCCCCCAACAATAGGTTGAGAGCAGCTTCCGTAGGAGACCTCCAAATTATGAAATGCCCTCCATGGGACTCGATCCCACGATATTATAAATATTTACAATTAAATTTAAACAAAAATTTAAACAACTTGACTCGACTCAAATAGAATTTCATAAACTCAACTCGACTTTAAAATTTTCAAATAAAACTTAAGTTATAAAATAGGACTCGTCAACTTGACTAACTTAAAGTTTTTGACTCGACTCGATCTAATACTCATCCATATTTATAGTGTTCCAAAAGGAAATTCACCATAAAAGTAAGAAGATTAAACTATGTTAAATTTCTCAAAAATGTTAAATTAAAGTTTAATTTCAATTTTGTATAACAGAGGGACTAAAATCGAATTAGGCCGTTAGTGAAGAAACTTGCAAGCCCAAGCCCCAAAACTGGAGCTTGATTAGATCCATTATTCAAAAATTCCAGATCGAAATTTCTTAAAAAATATCAGACCAAGTATTGGCGTTGCGTGTCATTTCATCTCTGCCGTTTCCCCTTTTTCTTCATTTACCTCAGGCGGAACTTTCCGGCGAATCAGTGTGAGATCGCTTCGATCTGTCGCCGGAAAGTTTCATTTGGATTTCGGCCGCCCATCCTTTGATCTTTCTGCATTCCTCGCCCTACAATGAATCCCGAATAGTAAGTTATCTATTTTATTTCGTATTTAATAATATTTTTACTTGTATTGCTATGTTGTTCTAATAATCCTATATTTTAATTTACTTATCCTCTTCTTCTTTTTTTATGATTTGGTGACTGTTTCGAAAATTTCATAAAATTTTATTTGAACCAATAATTGTCGGTGTTAAAAGTGACGGGATTTTGTTTTAGATCCGTTGATGGAATTGATATGGTTTTTCCTCATTGGAGTTTATCCGTGGAATTTAATTAAAACAAAGGGTGCGGGCTTTGGTGTGCTCTTCAATTATTCACGTCTTTTATGTTATTTACGTGACGCAAAAACTTAAATTGATTTTGGCTAGAAATGGATTCTCATTAGAATAAAATATATTTAGTAAATTTTGATGTCTTCTAGTCAGGTATGTGACTTTTCAACATGTGTTGCCAACTCAATTATTTGTGATGGAGAAGCAATCTAACTCAAATTTGAATGTAATGCATTTTAATTTTATGCAGCAACCAAAATTAAGAATTCAACTGAAAGGTGGCTTAGAAATTTTAGGGTTAATCTTTGGGAAGTAATTTGGTGTTCTGAGTTGGCCTCGATTATAGAAATCAACTTTATGTTATGTGGTTACATCATTGAGAAGTATGTTAATATTATCGGGTTGCACATTTTTGCAGTGACTATCTGTTCAAGCTACTGCTTATTGGAGATTCAGTTGTTGGAAAATCTTGTCTTCTTTTGAGATTTGCTGTAACTTTTCCGACTTAAACTGGCATTAAGTATATCTCTTTGCTTCTTAGACTTCTGTTACACATTCTAGATGTTTATATGATTGCCTTTAATTGTTATATTCACGTTTAATAAGTTCCGTTGTGTATGCCTTGAAAGGTGAGTGTAAAATTTGAACTTCATGTGGTGAACTATTTTTATGATTTTGGATAGAGAACATTTTTGGTAGAAGAATAGTTTTATATTGGAGATATCAAACATCTGGAATCTGGATACTTTCAGATGGCCGTGCAGAACTGAACCTTGTCACTGATCATTATGTAATTTCTGTAACGCAGGATGATTCATGTGTTGAAAGCTACATAAGCACCATTGGTGTTGATTTTGTGAGTAAACAGTCCCTGGTGCTGACTTTTAAGTTCCAAAATTTATAACAACTATTCTAATATCTTGTCTTCTCATTTTCTTTTTTGGTATAAAATCCGCACTGTGGAACAGGATGGGAAGACCATTAAACTTCAAATTGTATGTTTTTGCATGCTGTACTGCATTTTCTTTTATTCATTTGCAGGAGAATGAGTTATCTGCTCATCTTCCTTTTTCCCATTGGCTGATATCTTTTTCCTTTTGTATGTTCTCATTTTATTAATATAGTCCTTCAAAGTTGCTCGTAAACCTTAACACTTAGCAATCTTGGGTTTTTTTAGGACAATCACTAGCAGCTACTACCGTGGGGCTCATGGCATAATAGTGGGTGATCTTTTCCTTTCTAGATCTTCTCCATGTACTTATTTTATTTCTCCACTTCTTATTTATGATTCTCATATATATATATATGTATACATTTTCAATTTTTAATGTCATTTTTCCCTTTTACTTGTGGCTCCTGTATTGGATTGTTTATGCTGTGACAGACCAAGAAAGCTTCAATAATGTCAAGCAATGGCTGAGTGAAATTGATCGTTATGCTAGTGACAATGTTAACAAGCTACTGGTTGGAAACAAGTGTGATCTTACAGAAAATAAAGTTGTGTCATACAAAGCAGGCAAGGTATTTGATTGCTCACATGTAAAAGCATAAATTTGGTCTTTATAGCAGGTTTATTCCTAGGTAGAGCTGTATGATCATCAAATTGTAACTGCTGGTGTTGACGTGTTGTACTGCATATTCATTGCTCCCGGCCCTTCTCCATATATCTGTTTTTCTTCTTTCAGGCACTTGCAGATGAAGTCGACATACCTTTTTTGGAAACTAGTGCAAAAGATGCCACTAATGTGGAACAGGCTTTCATGGCTATGGCTGCTTCCATCAAGAACAGGTACCCATACTCTTTTTCCTAAATGGTTTTAGTAATATCTAGACTGACATGAACCTGAAAATTCACCCTGATTAACCCAATTCTAAATCCGATCCATCCTGATTTGACTATAAGAGTCAACAACTTGAACTTGAAATGACTTGAATCCAAAATGATATGAACTCGAGATGGCCTGAACTAGAAACCTGAAAATGATCTGTACTCGAGTGTTGAAACCTAAAATGATCCAAACCTGACATTGATCCGAACATGAAATAACCCGAAATTTTCCAATCACGAAAATAACCCTGCCACTCATTTGGGAGCTCTTGTATTCTTAGTTATTTGAATACTAATACAATTAGGCTAAAAAAGTTGGTGGTTGGTTTGTAGAACAATGTGCTGTTGAATGGCATTTTCATGCTGGTTAGGTTTATTGTTCAATATTATCATACAAAAAAATTAGATCAATAAATGCAGTTCTATGGTATTTTACCATCAAGTCTTGGTTCCTATTGAGTGTGTAATACTTTCGTGTGTCATTAAAAATTGCCTCTAAATACAGAATGGCTAGCCAACCTGCCATGTACAATGCTTGGCCTCCTACGGTACAGATCCGAGGACAGGCTGTTGAACAGAAGAGTGGCTGCTGCTCTTCCTAGAATGTCAAAGGAACCTCTGTTTCTTCTGCAGTACGCCGCTGCCGGCGGTGGCACAGTTGTGTAAGATTCAATTGTTTCTTAAATCGTCAGTTGCAGACCTTATTTCCTATTGGACAAAACCTCAGAAGTAGAGGATATCATTCCTTTCTAGTTTCTACACACTTGTTAATGTGAAGGCTTTGTACAATGTATGATTTTTTGCTTGTTGATTAAATAATAACACATTTAGTTCTTTATATGTATACATACGATTAATTTAGTCATAATTTTAAATAATTCGATAAATTTAACCTCTAAATTTACAAACTTCTTTAATTTGGCCCAACCATCCTCTCCCTTTGACCCATACCATTGGATATCACTACCAGTCGTTATCCTTGCCGTCAACTCCGATCACTAAAACCATCAAGTGGCATCTCCATCTTTCCTCTCCCTTTGAAACACCATTGATGTTTTAAACCAGGATTTAATCAAATATTGTAGTATCTAATAATGCTCTCCAATTTCATATCAGAGGGAAGATCTGGCAATGCTAATTTAGCAGCATCGATTTCTACAATAAGTTAATCGATGCTCTCCTACTTAAAGATATATTTACATATATTATTATTTCTTGATTGAATTTTTCTTAAAAAATATTGCATAAATATATACAAATTTATTGATACCGAATTTAATGACCCCAAAATGTAAATTACTCTTTTCTTTTGTACGATGCAAATTACCCTCTTATATTCAACCAAGCCTTAGATCCCATCATAATAGTTGATGATGGAACTGGGAACATATAGATTGTGTAGATTGTTGATGGTTCACCATTCCTAACTTGAGTAAGAATCATAAATAGTCAAAAACGATGGTTGGCCGATGATTCTCTGTGAAATAAAGGAGAAAAATTGTTTGGAGAGGGGATTGTTCTAGGTTAAAGATGAAAGAACCTCATAAGAATTTCAAAAGGAGTACAAAAAGTCTCCTTTTCTTAGTCGTGGCTGAAAGATTTTTATAGTGATCGTAGTTGAAGGAGCCAGATATAAGATAATTATGATTGTTTCTAAGTGGCATTAGCCAAGTAGATCTAGTTGTAAAATCACATATTTCACTTTGATAGGTTACACATGTTAGAGGTCTTGTCTTATCTATGCATTATAATTAGTTCGAGATTATGAGTTCTTTAAAGACTTCAATAAGCACAAAGGTCTATCCGAAGATCTTGGCCGATGAAAAACTGACAATTTTCGGGTTTTTTTCCGAAACCATAACAGTAAAATTCATCTACCAAACCAATTACGTGAACACCTCAAATTCTAAATTCGTTACGTAAAAGGGTCGAAGAAATTAGCCATCAGGACCCAATCAACATAGCTCTATAATCTACATAGGGTTTTCTATAAAGTTTGGCCAAAAACTTTGAATTAGGAAAGCTTTCTCTTAGGTGGCTTTGATTAGCTCAAAAGAAAGGGCATGTTTTACCAACTCCACGTCTCCACCAACTCCAAAATTTTCAAAATAAGATAGTGCAGATATGGTGAATTCATTGTGCCATTGCCTAACCAATCCATACAGGTAGTAGGAAAGAGATGATGAATGTATATAAAAATAATAATATTATTAAATGTTTGAATTGATTGGCCTCGTTAGGTTGCTGATGTAATGGCCTACGGGTTAGGTATTGATTATGATGTTCTTTAAGATATGAAATTGTTACATGAATATTATATCAATTTACTGTTGCTAAAATCAAATCGAATCGATCTATTGAATCAGATATCAAAACTTTTATCAATTTAATTGTAATAATTTAAAATTTTGATAACAGTGAAGTTATCAAATTATTCTAAAACACTGCACCACGAGGAAAAAAGAACTCACGATACTACAACATATTGATGCCCTAATCGCTAAAAACTGGGTTATCTTGATCAAATGTGTGTTGCATGAAGAAAATGAGATAATTGATGCAATAGCGAAATCAATATGAACGCTCTCAGTCGGTCTAAAAAGATACATCTAATCGCCAGATACAATGACAACGATGATAAAAGAAGAATACGTCAATATGAATCAAATACTAAACGTTTTGTTTAGGTGTCAGTTGACTAATTCGGTCACTGATTCAGTTTATACAACACCACGTCATCATTAACCTGTTTTGTTTACGGTTATGTCAAATGTCGCGTATAGCCGAATATTCTATGCTTAGTTTAATATGAAACTTTTGACTCTCAGTAAAGAGACATATGTTAAACAAGAAAGGAATTGGAAGAGACATATGTTAAACAAGAAATGAAATGGAAGAAACAACAGTCATTAATCCAATAATTTGAGAAATCAAATATTTTTTTTTGCCGGGGGGGGGGGGGTTTTGATGGTCTAACCTATCATACTTAATATATTTCAACCATATATTTTCATTCATTCAATGGTGTTAAATATGTGTAAAACTAAAAGAGTTTTACGTTGTTTAACATGATCTTATCTCATCTTATCTATCTATCTATCTATCATTTCAAAATTGATTTAGTTAAGGACATGATAGAAAAATATTCAACTGTGATTAAATTCGATATCATCTAAACATATTCGATTCAAACTTAAATTGAAATAAACCTAAAGTTTATTTGAATTTAAAATAAGATTAACATAGAGCAATCCAAATATGTTGATGTACAACGAGTGAGGTGGTGGTTTACGGTGGTTTATGTAACCCCCACATACCGATACGGGTGACCCGATTCGAGGAGCAGTGTCACATTAGGGCCACCTGAGCGACTCACCGTAAAAATCCCATAATTTTTTTTTATTAAAACGCCTAAAATCATAAAACAATTTATAAACACAAAAGTAAAATTTAACAATATTCATAAATAAAGCAGATTCCAGACTCGGATATAAAAACAAAATATAAGCTACATGCCCCCTAATCACATGCACTGTACTCCGCAAGCAACACCGGTGGAACTCATTTATTGATGTCGATAGTTGCACTGGTTCAATCATTTTAACCTAAAATAGTGAGTAACAAAGTGAGCTTTTGGAAGCTTAGTAATACAATACTACCAAATGATATTGAAGGACGTGCAAATAATAGGTAAGCATACTTTTTCTTATTGATTTTGACATCTACAGATTTTTTGTTAGGAGCGGAGGTCCCACTGATATCTCAGGTAGTAAAAGACAAGAAGCTTTCATTTCAGAGTAAGCGTTCGGAGGAATAGGTTTAGGAGATTAGAATAAAGTGTTTAGTGTGTTCCCACAAAACCAGTGAAAATGTACAAATCTTTTAAAACAGTAGCAGTTTAAAACGTATTTTTCAAAACCATAGTAAAACCCTCTAACCGAACGCCAATATATAGTTTCCAGAACTGCATTCATAAGGACTTATCCTAGGCCCAAAGGGCGTAGATGCCAACCTAAGGGAGCACCTTACGTCTATAAGGTCTTACCCTAGCCAAAGCGTAGGTGCCCACCTGAGTGGAGTGCCCACAGGCCCATAAGGACTTACCCAATGCGCACAACAGATGAGCCACCCTAAGGGAGTGTCTTAGGGTCCATAAGGTCTTACCACTATGCCTATTAGGCCCAGGAGCTCACCCAAAAGTCGCCTTAGGTCCATAAGAAATTACCAGTTGGTGTTGAACCTATACAAGGAATTACCAACAGCGACTGAACCTGTCAGTCTCTTCAGTTATACCAGAGTCCCAGAGTACCTGTATAAAAATAATTTCAGTCAGTAAATAGAGATATCAGAAATTAGAGTATAGATCAGACATCATAATAGAAATCAGAGATCATAATAGATATCACAGTTCATGACAGAAATCAGAGGTCAGACTGTATTTCAGATAATAAAGACATTTTTAAAATAAGAGAAAACATCCACGTGATCAGTGAAAACACTAGAGGTTCCAAATATTATTCATAGGTGATTGGTATTTATCATATAGGTTGTCATGAAACTTTTGTAAACTGATTAAATTCATAGACGAGATCCCCATAAAATGATTAGATAGGTGACAGATTCATCAGTTATTTATAACGTGATTTATCAGGATCATATAGTATTCAGATACTTTTCGGAGGCACTACGTAATCAGTCAGGTATTCGGAATCTTTTGCATCAGTGTTACTCGTATTTTCATATATGACAGGAGTAATACCATTATCCAGGAAATCAAAGACATTTTGGGCATTAGGTCCTTGGAGAAATCTTAGTGATTTGAGCTTAAAAGGGAGAAACGAAGATTCAGAGCATTCACAATTTGTGTCGATCTATCGGAATATCGAGTTAACTCGAGCTATACAAATCCCAGCAATGATACCTGTCAACCAGTCAAATTGTTGCACTTCAAGGGTATTCGCACTTTAATACTGACAACTCTTGTCAATTTATCATCTTCAGAATAATCGCTGAATGAATCTTACTGGGACAAACATATATTCCAATAGTTTTTATTTCACTTCTTTATTGCAACGATATCAAGTAATGTCGACATGCTTGATTTGCGGTTTATAACTCTTAGGGGCAGTACATTATATAAGAACATCAGTGTTTCCAAACTTATCCAAGTTATTCGTTTAATTCAAGGTCATCGGCGTACTTAAATCAATTAGTATTCAAGTTTATCCCGATCACTTGGAAGTTTCTAAAGTAACTCTATCGTTTTAATAATTCGAATACGTACAACGCTTCCATTCAATTCAACTTTGTCATTTCAAGAAATTCAGACGTGTAAAGTACTTTCGGTAATTTTAGCCTCCGGGTGTTCGCTCAGGAATTAGAAATTTTAAGTCTTTTACCATCTCAAAGATCATGATCGATTAACATGATTATTTTCACTTTCCGGGAAAATCCTTATCTTTTATATCATACTGGTATTTTCGTTGTTTCTTATCCAAGCATTTCCAACATTTAACCTTTAACGATATTAATCAGAATTTACGAGTCCCGATATTGATTGATTTACCGATTAAATCACTGAACTTAGATTTGTTTCCGATCAGTCTACCAATTTCTTTTACGAGACGTCTAAGTCTTATACAGTGTTCTGTCTTAATTCCAAATTCAATTTGAGTCCAATGATAATTAAATACACTTCATGGACCAATTATTTCCATTTATCCATTTACCAATTATCAATGTGTTACTGAAAGCATACAAAAGCTAGTAGAGTATTACCTCAAATTCTAAGCTCCACCGATTGAACATTTAATCTCCAATCGTTCATTCTCGAGCTTGAATTCAACGTCCCATAATTCCTCTAATACATAACAATCGAATTTACGTCAGAAACTAAACTTATTTGAGAAACCAATTTGAATCCGAATATAAAACACTGAAAAACTGCTTATCTGGTGCGAATTTGTCAAAACATACTTCGAATTCGAACTCAAGACGTCGAAAAACATAAAATAAGACTTTTCAAAAAATTTGACTTCTTCGGTCAAAGTCAACGATTTGACTCAAACGGGTTGACTCAGAAGGGTTGACTTGGCTCAGACCGAGTTGACTCGGTCGGGTCAAACACACCCGGTTCAGACCGGGTTGGGCCGATTTAGACTGGTCCAGATCGGTTGGATCGGTTTTAGAATATTTTCAAGGTAGGCAAAACAAGCCCACGCGTACGCGAAGGTGCGTGACGGCGTGTGGAGACAACGAAAGGCTCAGAGTGATCGGCCGATTACTCTTACAACTCCAATTACCCAATTGCAATCAATAATTTAACTAATATTAGCCCCAAATCCATCGGAATAAAGAAAAAGGTTGAAACATTCACCCACTCCAGCGATCGGACAAAAACGGTGACGTTGACACGACCCACCAGTCGGGTTAGGAGTGGACGATGATGGGGAACTCAGTGGTGGCAGCGGTGAGGCAAGACGATCGTCGGATCAATCGGAATCGAAGGAAAATCATGCGGTGGCGGGGTTTCGACGAAGCTTCATCGGCTTCTCCACGGTAAATGATGGCTCCATTCAACATCTTAACCGAGGGGTTTTGGTCGGACGACGACAATGTCCTTACTGGGACGGGCGGTGACGTGCACCGTCGGCCGGAGGAGGGAGAAACGAGGAGGAAAGTTGTGGTTTTGTTTTAGGGTTTAGGGACTCGGGCATTCTTAATTCGAGATTTCATCGAGGGGTTTATTTTTCTCTGACAAAAAAAATAGTCTAATTTAGGGTTAAGTCCCTAAACTTCCCACAAGTTCCAAAATCAAGCTATAACTTTTAAAAATTTACAATTTGGTTCTCGAAATTTCCCTTGATACAACTCTAATTCAATACAATTTGTATTGATTTGATTTGGATTAACCTTAACCTACCAATTTGAGGGGTCCAATAGAACAAAGAGAGAAGGAAATGCATATATATATATATATATATATATATATAAGATCATATTACATAATGTAAAACTCTTTTAGTTATACATAAATTTAATACCGTTGGATGAGGGAAAATAGATGACTGAGAATATATTCACTGGAAAAAAACAATAATGAGTCAATCTCAGCCATCTATTTTCACTTATCCAACAGTCTTATTTTGAGTAAAACCAAAGAGTTATATACATATAAAATTCACATTAGTTTAAATTAATATTCTCTCATTGTCAAAAATATTTAGATAATTAGGTTAAAAGTTCTCAATTAACATCTTCCCTCTCCTGTAGATTATGAGTTCAATCTCATTAAGAGCAAAAATTTTCCTTCTCCCTCTTTCTAGGTAGGAATTATTCAAAAACAATAATCTCTCATCAGGCCCTAAAAAAATAACGACGGTGATTAATGATAGGAAATGTAAAGATATTCATAGAAAAGATGAGATAATTTCAACAGTTTATTTTCATTCATCTAACTATCCTAAAAATGTATAAAACTAAAAGTTATAGTATATTCAAATTGATTTGGTGAAGGACCCATAATGGGAGAATATTAGTTTAAGCTAACGTGAATTATTGGTGTTAGTAAGTATAAAAGAGAAAGTGCTTGACTTTTGCTTCTATAAATTATTGTCCAAAATTTCCTTGAGTTAACTTGTGCCTTCTATATAACAATATAACCTGCTAATTGTCCCTTCACTGTCTTTACTCCTTATCTAAGTAAACTAGGCTTTGAAGTTTAAACATGGGTTTTGCAGCAGCTTTCCTCCTCCTCCTCCTTCTGGCGGCTCCGGCAGCTCACGCCGTGCAATATACCGTAGGAGACAGTGCTGGTTGGACCAACAGCGGAGATTACGAGGGTTGGGTTCAAGGGAAGGCATTCACTGTTGGCGACACGCTCTGTAAGTTGCTTACCAAACATGTCATCAAAACACACAGTAGAATTTTATTAAGGAATGATGAAAAAAAATGTCTCTAATGTTTGATTAAGTAGTTATTTTGATTTATATTCTTTTTTTAAAGTATTTTGGGCTCTAACTTTCCATTTTAAGACAAAAAAGTCATTTTGTGGATGAAAATTATTAGTCAACAAACGATTAATACTTTAAAATAAGAATTTTTTGTCCTAAAATAAAATGTTAAAGATCAAAATACTTTAAAATGACAGAAGAATGGCTAAAGTTATTATTTAGTCAAACATTAAGAACCTTTTTACCCTAAATGAAATGTTGAGGCCGAATACTCCAAAAAAAATAAAGATCAAAATGACTATTTAATTAAATATTAAAGGTATTTTTTGATTTATACCTTTAATTAATCAATTTAATTATGGTTTTAGCCTCTTAAATATGATAAAATTTAGGGTTTAGTTTTTTATTCTAATTGGACATGGTATGTTCCTTTCATAGTAGATCTATATTGATAACTTTATAGTTGTTATAGTCGTAAAAGTATTCGAATGATATGTAAACTTATTATTAAGTTAAATATAATTGATGAATTCAAGAATCAAACAATCTCAATAAATTAAAGTAATAATTGTTATTTTTAAATGTCTTAGATTTAAATATCAATGATGACAGAATATTTGAGTATTTATTATCAAATAATTAAAAAAATTTAAAATAAATATTACTACTTATAATCACCTAGATTAATCAATATTTTATATATAATTAACGAATTTCCACACGACTGTGACCATGTGTCTATTTTATTATAGTGTTTAGGTACGGTGGCAGCCATGCGGTGGATGTTGTATCCAAGAACGACTACGACAATTGCAACTCCGGCAATGCTCTGAGCTCTCACAGCGACGGAAACACAGTCATCCCACTGTCGAATCCGGGGCCGATGTATTTCATATGCCCCACCATAGGACATTGTGCCGGCGGCATGAAGCTTGCAATCAACGTGGTAGCAGCCGGTGGCAACTCACCCTCCACCCCGTCTGGTTCACCTACTACTCCCGGGACAACGCCGAGCGGTGGCTCAACACCATCGCCGCCGTCACCACGGCCTAGTGGAGCTCCTAGCATCATGAATTCCGGTTTCGTGCTAGCATTTTTGGCCGTGTTGGGAGCCGTTCTTGCGGTTATGAGCTAGGGGAGAGGCAGTGCTGTTGGGTTATTGGCTTTTATTTTCTATTCAATCACCGTGTGATTTTATTTTAGCTTTCCTTTTATGAATCAGAGACGTTGAATTATCTTCTTATGACCTAAATAATTTACCTTAATCATGATAAAAATATATATTTTTATATGGATACTGTTTTAATAATTTACTTATTATATTGTAGAAGAAATTGATTTTGGTAGTGAATAAATTATTATTATTATTTGAGGTTTCAGAATCAAGTACTAGGAATGTTAGAGATACTAGCGTTTAATGTCAAATGAATTGATTGAGAATTATATTTGAACAAATACTACTTGTACTTACTCCATATTAATAAAAAAATAATTTACTTATTATATTTTATTTACCTATTATATAAGTAGGTTTTGATGAAGATTAAAAATATTTCATAATATAATTGACATAAATACTATTTTAAATCGATATAAATATTAAATTCATTTTAAATTTTTTATATGATAAATATTAGGGTAAAGTACATAAAATAGTCTTCTGACTATAGGGTACTGCTTTATTGAGTCTTTCAATTATTAAAAGTTATAATATGATTCTTCAATTATATGACACTACTTTGTTGAGCTCTTCAACTATTAAAAATTATAAAATGGTCACTCGACATATGTTCTAAATTCATCTTTTTCGTTAAAAAATTAAAGATCTTCTGAGCTGGATATTAATATGTTGATCGAGATATAATAAAATATGATCACATAATCTTATAAGCAGTGACGAAAATAGAAAAAATTTATTAGGTGAGCTAATATAAATATAATAAAAAATTTTCTAACATAATTTGCGCATACTTTTTAATTTAAAAATATAATAACAACTATATATATTTAAACTGAATCTAAAAAAATATCAATTAGACCAATATAATTTTTAACATAATTTGTACTTATTTTTTATTTCAAATTATATTATTATTTTTAATTTTTGGGTCATAGGGTCAGCCACTGCCTAGGTAGGCCCACCCCTAGATACATCCCTACGTATGAGCTATATTTTATGGATCGATTCTCTTTTTATATTATATTATCAAGTCAAATATGATTTTATCGTATCTCAATCAGTAGATTAATGTCTAACTCTAATGACCATCACATTTTTTAACAGAAAAAGATAATTTTGAAACATATGGATGGTCACGTGACTATTTTATAACTTTTAATAATTGTAATACTCAACAAAATATTTCTATAATCAATGGTTGTTTTATGACTTTTAATACTCAAAATACTCAACAAATCATCGTTTTATAATTATAGAATTATTTGTATACTTTATTCCAAATATTATTACATAAAAAATCAAATAATTGAAACATTTGACAATTACAGCAACCTAATCGATGTATTTAGTTTGGTTCGATAAGACATCGTTATCATCATCTTTTATTAGTCAATCATATGTCAACTAAACTACAAAGACAGTAAGTACAGGTTAAATTATAGTTTAGTCCATCCACTACACTCAAATTAGAATTTAATTCATCTATTTTATTTTTGGTGTAATAATAAAATTACCCCCAACGTTTACATAAATAATTATTTTATCATTTTTAATATTTTAATCTCAAATGTCTCAATTTTTGATAAAAACAAATCTTGTTTGATAAAATCGTTAGTTGACTAACGATTTACACATATTGTTGATGTGATATTTTTACATATGTTTAATAAATGATATGACATATATAATATCATTCGAAATGATGATATGATATATATATATCGCATCATTTAAAGTGATGACACAATATATGTCACATCAATAATTAAACACATATAAAAATATCACATCAATAATATGTGTTGACAGTTATTAACTGTCAACTAATTATTTTCATCTAACAATATATGTTTTGACCAAAAAAATTAAAACATTAAATCCAAAATGCTCCCAATAAATTAAAAGGCAAAATGCTCTTTTATACAAATATTAAGAATAATTTATTATACCTTTATTTTTTGTATAATTTAATCTTCCATTCTTTTAATATCATTGATTAATCTGAATACATATTGACATTAACGTTTTTTTTTCTTGAACACACTTTCATATCGACGTCGTTATTTTTGTGATGGAAGATGTATTTTTTGAAATATTCACATCATCATTTTAATTGAAATAATTGTAGAATTAATTATTTAAATTAATTAATGATAAAATCAAAATATATTAAATTAAAATATATAGAAAAATCTTGAATTTTAATATAACATGGAAAACAACAATCTCACTTTAATATATTTAAAATAGTTTAGATGGGTAAGACCTCGTTATCAAGTATGGGTATCTTTTATTGGTCAATCATACATCAAATAAAGTCGAAATATAATATATATATATATATATATATATTATTAAGCTAAATATAATTACACGGTAATATCTTTTCTAAGTACTCTCAGTAATTTGATAATAAACATTCAATCGCCCTTGCAATCATTGGTGCTCGAACCCGTGACTTTTAGAAACGTCTATATCTTTATCACGTACACAAAATGTCAATATCATTATCACGTACTTAGTACGACAAGGGATTATATATGTGTAATTTGTTTTATATAAATTTTAAAATTTTAAACCTAAATTTATAAATTTATTTCAAAATAGAATAATTTTATTTAATTTTAGATATTATTATATGAAATTGAATTATTTATAAGAAATATAAATTTGTTAAAAATAAGCGTTCAGCACGAATTTTTGTCCGAATTGACTAATGTCTAACTTCACCTATTAGGCCTTTAGGGTCACCAATTCTCTCCCAAACTAGAAAAATTTTAAAGTGAACATCTTATATCAAAATACACTGTTAATATTAATATGATACATCAAAATATATAATTAAATAAATCGTTTTTATTAAAAAATATTTAAAAAATTAAGGATCTCTTCTTGATTAATCTCTTATAACAGTTTCTCTTGAATCTTGAAAAACAAATCCTTCTCTTCACATCTTTGAAGTCATAAGATTCGTAGAAAAAATTATTACGAAGAGAAATAATCAATTTTAAAATTTGTATTATCACGTTTAGTTCGTTGAAAAGATTATTATAATGTAATAACTTATTACTAACGTTGACATTCTTGGTTAAAATGATTAGAATGCAATTACCTTCAAATTTTTAAGCATTCTTATTATTTTGGACAACAATGTCTCTAAAATAATGGTTTCTTTTCATAGAAATCCTTATCAATCCTTATTCTTTGTGTTTTACTCAAAATTATAAACATTATAATAGATAAAGAGTTAAACTAAATAAAATATTAATAAATTTGAGTGACTACAATTATCAATATTTTTTAAATATTAAAATCATTTAATATTAAAAAATTGATTTAAGTATAATTTTTTTAAAATTAAAACTAAGCTTTCATAAGAGATTAATTATTTAAAGGTGGTTAAAAATTTTAATGTTCTTCTAATAAAACAATTTATTTAATAATATATTTTGATGAGTGACATTAGTAGTATATTTTAATGTGCAATGTTGAGTCTAGAATCGTCTCAAAATTAAACTGTTCCCCGTTATTAGGGCATCGTTAATAAGCTCAGATTAGTAAAAAAAAAAGCCCAAATCAAACCAAACTTTGAAGGCCCAAATACTGCATCGACTCATCTAGATATTCAGAAAAATCCCTTCCGCCTCGATAGTGGGCAAATGCTCTTTAGTTTACTCCAGCAACTGAAAGATAAAAGGAGAAGAAAAAACAATGGCGGCCGAGGACGACAGCGGAGAGTTTTACCTCCGTTACTACGTGGGACATAAAGGGAAGTTCGGGCACGAGTTTTTGGAGTTCGAATTCAGGCCGGACGGGAAGCTCCGATATGCAAACAACTCCAACTACAAAAACGACACCATGATCCGCAAAGAGGTCTTCCTCACCCCTGCCGTTCTCAAGGAATGCCGCCGCATCATCACCGAGAGCGAGGTCCCCTCTCGTTTTAAACCCTTTCCCTGCATTTTCTCTTCAATTCAACTCTGCCTAGGGTTTGGAATTATTCATCTTATTTGTAGTGGGAAACTAGTTCCTTTTTCCATGTTTTGTATAAATAATGAGTTAGTCTTTGCTATCATTTGTTTTATATATATATAATTTTCTTATTTTACTACCTTAGTTTTTCAAATTGCCCTGCTGGATTTTCTCTTCTTTGATAGGTTAAAGGATTTAGTTTTTAGTTGATAAATGATTACTCCCGTGAATAATTGTAGTTTCTGGGTCTTTGAACGCTCAGGATGGTTTAAGGTTGCAGTTTTTATTGATTATTGTTTTCTGGTATTGTTCAATTCTGTTGTTTTGTCAATGTAGATCATGAGGGAAGATGATAACAACTGGCCAGAACCTGATCGTGTCGGACGGCAGGAGCTCGAGATTGTGATGGGGAATGAGCATATCTCTTTCACTACTTCGAAGATCGGTCCCTTGTTGATGTTCAGAGCAGTAAGGATCCGGAAGGGCTTCGCATATTTTATTATCTGGTTCAGGTCAGCTAACGTACATTGTCAATCTGCTATTTTATTCTTGTCATTCGTGTTGTGATACCCTTTTACCCTGTGTATTGCATCAATGAGTAAAGGCTGATCTTTTGGCCTTTGTGATGGTTTTAATTTTCTATTTTCGACTTTTTCTTGCTTATGGCCTCATAAGTTCTCTAACATGGTTAGTTGATACAGAGCTGATTTTGTTTTCATTAATGGACTTTCCATGATCGACTTTTGCTAATTTATTTCTGCTTTTGAACTGGATTTCTTGCTTGGTTTTCAATGCAATGCTAAAGAGGCTAGAGTTGCTCTTCTTTCGGGTGTCTATTTGAAACGAATTACTGAAATAGTTGGAGTGTGGTGAATGGATAAGCACACACATGCATACTCTATTTTCAGTAGTTCATTGATTCCTTGTGCTCATGTATATGCTGATTAGGGGTGAGTGTTCTAGTCGAGTCGAGTTTGCTCAATCTCTAATGCCGATACATGGATGTTAGTTTGTATCCATGTCATACTAGTGTTTAAGAGGGTACAAGTTAATGGGATGTACTATCTTTTTCTTCTTATCTATGTCTGACCTGATTGCCATTTTATGAAATGCAGGACTTGAAGTGCTTCGTATTCTCTCTCATCTCACTCCACTTCAAGATCAAGCCTATTTGAAAAGCACATATTAGTGGATTGGTGTCCAATTAAGGATGCCGGGCACGGCAAAGAAAGATAAGCTGTAAAACATTACTTCAACGTTGGAATGAACAAAACTCAATTTGACTAAAAAAATCAATTATTTTTTCAAATGTTGAGTTATTCAATTGTTCAAGTTATTCGAGTCAGCTTGGATTTCAAATTTAAGTAAGTTTGCATTTACAAAATAAAAATAAAAAATAAAAAAATTGAATGATTGTAAATTCATAAATTTACTTTTTTTTTTGTGATTTGGTCTTTAACTTTAAATTTTATTCAGTTTGGTTTTTCGATTGTAAACTTTTCTCATTAATTCCTTGATCCTTTTATATTTATTAATACATTGTCTTCAATATATATATATATATATGGTTCGGGAAAGTCAACAAGATATCAATCTGAATAATAAAATTATTTATAATTATAATTAAATTTAAACAGAAGTTTGAACGTATGATACTCAAATTCATGAACATAACTAAATATAATATCAAATAAAATTTAAATTATAAAATAAGATTTATTAACTCGATTAATTTAAAAATTTATGACTCAATTTGATCAAATATTCATCAATATAAGAAACGTTTCCATAATTGTCAATACTCGACTTTTCTTCATTTGTAACGTATAGACAAAAATCTGAAATCCTCAATTTCTAGAACATCAAATTGGAACACCAATAGCACTTTTTCACGAAGCACATATACATTTTATCATGTCAAAGGCTAAAAGACATGTTTTGTAAAAGGAAGACCACCGGTGTTTGTCAATCGAACTCAGTAGCATGCATCTTAGCCCTCTCTGTTGCCATTACGAAAACAAATTGATAAGGCCAAATGCTTATTATCGTGTAAGAAGACTGTACGAGGGCAGATCCTCCAGACGTGTAATATCTTCAAGTAGAAGCTCCCTTTCCAGTTGTCGACGTGTGGCCTTCATCACTGTCTGTAAAACACAATACAGAGCTTTCTTTTTTACCCAAAAAAAACACAACAAAAAGAATCTTCTGGTTGAAGTTGAAGAATACATACATTGAAGTCCATGTAGGATGCGCGCATAGCAAGCCACTGATGGTCCATTAGCTTGAATGTGATGCAATAGAGAAGGTCAAACGCTGATTCATTTTCTATCAAGGCCAAAAAAAAACCGCACCGTCATGGTTTCCAATTTTTAAGAAAAATAGATATTCAAAAAGGCATTACCTGAAAGGAACTTTAAGAAAACCGCTCCTACAATTGTCCTTGGTTTGACTGCGGAATTCAAGCACATTGTTAATTGATGAATGGCATCAAATAGCAATCTCAATGAGAATGCTCACAAAAGAAAATGGGATTTGCTTAAATTGATGCATGTCTACGCACGAATAGTAGGGGCTTTTACTTCAACAAGATTGTGCTGGTGGAGTATAATTATCCATTAGATACATCAAATCAGTCATCTTAAGTCGGAGAATTTGAGTACTCAGGAGTTGCATAGAATTCTAGGATATCACTTCCCTAGTTTACCTGCTTCGATATCAAGCATCTGAATGAGCATAAAAGTGATGTTCACACCAGCAACAGCAAATGGATATTCCCACACAGACCTATCACCTTCCAGCTTCCAAAGAAGATCCTTGAAGGATTTCTGCATTGACATGTTTAGAAACACCTTAGGCATCCGATGGACAGAAAGATCAAAACATCAACCAAACCTAGATATGAAGCAAAAGTGTAGATGGAACACTTTCCCAGTCATGATGTCCATAGTGCCCTTATGATTTCTCCATTCATACAATAGATGAGAGAAACAAACACGATGAGCGTGCAAGGTAACTAAATGCACATACCGGAAAATTCCTAGCAAAGAATAACAGGTTCTCCAATGATATAAAACCACCGCCCCTGCGAGATAAATCCAAATATCAACAACTACTTATCAAACAGAGTCATTCAGGGAAAGAGAAAATGCAAAAGAAAAAAAAAACGAAATGGAATAGAAAGGAGCTACACTACCTAAAATCTGTAGATGGATCCTTCCCTTGCCACCCCATTTCCTTCCACTGCTCGGATATTAAACCACGTAGTTCTTCTTCTGGAAATGCAGCATTCCATAAGGCCCTTAAAGATTCCTGTAGAAAAGCAGTAATAATGAATAAGAGAATAGGATTTGTAAGTCAGGATTGATGATTACAGAATCCAGAATAGCACCCAAAATGTAAATAGCATCATTTAGAACAGGCACCTGATGCTCAGGAATTGAACTGTCATAAGCAATCTCTATACGGTTCTGCAGCCTCTGCAAGCATTCTTCCTGACAACATGAATGCCAATATTAGTTTTTATTCCAGCAAAGGAAAAGAGCAGAGCAAATTTTTAAATGTTCTAAGAAAATCAATCAACATGATGCCAGAAAGATATTCCAGCTTAGCATAAATAGGCAAATACAAGGACAGCGAGACAACAAAACTAACCAACAAAATTAAATCATGCAGTAAAAGCTTAAGGGGATGTTTGGTTCAAGGAATGTGGGATTCTCATGAGAATGGAATCCATATTCTCATGTTTGGTTGGCCGGGAATCTCATTCCCGGTGATGTTTTATTACCAATAGTAGATTTTTTGGGGTATATTACCGAGAATGTCATTACCTCCATTTCCTTAGGTATTGTTGGATTACCGGAGTTTTGGACTAAAATGCCCTTAATTTTTTTTTTCAAAAATATCCTTATTCTGTCATTGAATAATAAAAATTCTACGAAGGTTAAATTATAAAATTTATCCTTAAACTATTTTAGATTTACAAAAAAAATCTATAATTAAAATTTTATATGAATTTCAGGGGTTAAAATAAAATTTTACCCTTTCATTAAACCTTTTTATATTTTCAATTTTGTAAAATATATATATATATAAATTTTATGAATTTAATTTTTTTTAAAGAAAATAAATAAATATTTTCTAACTTATTAAAAAAACAAATATATAATAAGGACAATTTGGTCAAATATACATTCCAATAATCTTTTATTCCTTTAACCAAACACGGTAATCTTACATTCTTGCTAAACCAACCAAACACAAAATACAACATTCCCAGTAATCCTATTCCCTGGTAATCTTACATTCCCACTAATAATCTTACATTCCGGGAACCAAACGCACCCTAAAAGAATGCCACTGTTCCGTACTTCAATAGTTCAATGATGTCGCTAAACAATCTCTACAGTCAAATGATAAGGTTTGCTATATGAATAATCATGTTGCAAGAAAAATGACCAGCAGGGTAAAGCCACAAAAATGACATCCACAGAGAACGCATATGAAATCTACAAAATAGAAGAGTTTTAACACAAAACTAGGGTTCTGGTGACAGCATTAAACAACAGAACACACATCATTAGTTAAAGTAATCAATGGTATACCAAGTAGCATAAGAAGTAAAGAGATCTTATCATCAGATTCTATTTCTTCGCAGATAGAGAATCACAAATTAAACATGAAAGGGGCAAATAACCATCATAGTTGACAACGGTAGAGATCCACAGGTTGACCGGATCATAAACAATACCTGGGAAGGAGTTAAATCAAATGATGGACGAGCATCACACTCTCTGCTCTGTGCACATACACAAGAAAGACCTCGACCCAACCATGCTGTTGATCCTGCCACAACCTCACCTGTAACAAAATAAAGAACTCTACTAATGAAATGCATTCCTAATCTTCATTTTAACTTCCTTAGAAATTTAGTAAAGACAACCAAGGAGTCAAATGGTTCACTAAAGCAGCTAATAAAGACGAGCAAAAGAGAAAAAAGCAAGAGAAAAACACCAGTGGACTATCCCCAACGAAATTAGAATGGTGAAAGCAACGGTATAACCATGTGCACCCAGAGTCATTAAACAAGAGGTGCACATGTGATGGAATGAAATGATTTTATCTGAAACTTTTCGACAGGAGTGAAAGATTTTGTGTCCTACAAAGTGAAAACTAAGCAAGTTCTGAACCATGAACAAAAAATGGACAGTTTACAATGTATGGGTTCTAGGAATTTGCTCGATACTAATGAATGGGTGAAAATTAAGTTAGATTTCGTAGATCTTAGAACCTAAATAGAATAAAAGAGCAAGAATTTCTTTTTAATTTTTTCAACTTCACGCAAAAAGTTTGAACGGAATAGCATTAAATCATGCAATCATGCCCCCTAATCTAGGTTTGCCTTTAAACTCTTGCTATAAAAATTGGATAAATTGCCAACCTCTAGAGAAAAAATTCAGTATTAAAGATAAGCATAAAAAAGGGAAAAGAAAAACCGAAAGATTGATTCATCATAGAATCAAAATTTCCAGAAATCCCTTTTACCAAAGAAAATCTCAGCAAAATAATCGTTATATTAACCAAGAGACGCACCAAACCAAATTTGAGTATCTGCACACAAGTTAGGGAAAGTTTTCGGCAACAATCAAAGCTCACTCTGCTAGAAAGAAAAGGAGATTTTTTTTATAAAAAAAACGTCTTTTTGCTTCAGAGAGAAAGTAGGTTAAGACATAAAAGAATAAAGAAAAATCATTAAAAAAATACATACTACAGAGCAAATCGTGAGACTTGTAAAGTGTGGAAGATAGAGAAAAAAAATTTTTCATAGAACAAGAAAGGAAAAAAGGAAAAAAAAGTGAAACACGGAAATAAAAATGATACAAAGGGACTAGGAGGTTAGTCACCAGAAGTAGAATGGCAGGTATTGCCTCGCTCGAGACCTTGAGAAATTCTCCTCACGGCGACAAATGAACCCCCTCTATCGTCCATTTTGTCACACCTCGTCTCTACTATCTTACTATCTTTCTTCCTGTTAACCCTAAGAGACAACTTATGGGCTTCTCCACAATTTCAAACCTGTAATAGTTGCGAAAAAAGAAACCGAATGAAACTCCGATTAAGGAAAAAGAATGAAAATAGATTCGAGTTTACTAAGATGGCGAGGATGCAATAGAATCAAAGCGAGATAGTACCAAAACAATCAGCAAAGCAACCGCGATGAAGCAGAACGCGAAATGCATGTAAAATCAGAAGGAAACCGGATCTAAACCAACCAGGACTGAATTAAACATAACTTAAACGTCAATATCTTCGTAAGAACCAATGTTCAATTAAGCAGGGAGGAAAAATATTAAGCCAATAGAGTTTCGAAAAGTAAAGACAGTTAAGCTCCGATCAGTGCTACCTAGATTCTTGAAAAGAGAATCAGAAAGGATCTTGAGAGAAAAATCCAGAGAATCTTAAAACGATCATAAAAAGAAAAAAAAAACGCTACGGTTTAAAGATCTAACAATCGAAGGTCTCCATTACTGAGAGAAAATCTAGAGAATCTTTAAACGATCAAAGAAAATGCATTCGAATTTTACTCAAGATGAACAAGAGGTGAGAATCAAAACCGAACAGTACCTAAACAATTAGCAAAGCAACCGCGATAAACTAGAACGTCAATGCAGGTAAAATCATAAGGAAATCGCATCGAAACCAGCCGAAACTGAAATCAAACAAAACCGAAATGTTGATATATTCGTCAGAAACAATGCTCGATTAAGCTGCGGCAAAAAAAAAGCCAAAAGAGTTCCGAAAAGAGTTACCTGATTCCTCAAAAAGAAAATAAGAATCTTGAGAGAAAAACATTCTAGAGAATCTTTAAATGCCAAAAAAGAAAAGAAAAGAAAAACCGCTAGGTTTTAGAGATCTAAGAATCGACTGTGTCCATTGCAAGCCACGGAGGCGGAGCCTTGTCTCTCCTTTTTTTTTCCCTCTCACTCTTGCATCTGTTAGCTTTTTTTTTTTTCCTTTTAGGTGAGAGCCTCGGTGTATAAGGCGAGGATATATATTTATTTTCTCTAGGTCAATTATGAATGTGGTCATTATACTACTAAAGTTTATGATTTAGACCTTGTTCTTTACTTTGCATAACTTTATTTTTTTTTTATAATATCATTAGTTAGTCTTGTTATACTAGACGAACAATTCTTTATCCAAATTAAAAAATAAAACTTAAATTGATATCGACGACTACAATTATCTTCCTATAATGTTGCACGTCAACAACCCTAATTAGGTAAAATTTATTTGTCCTTTTCAATTCCTTATATTTTCTATGATGAAATTAGTGAGCATTGTTACTTGTCTGAAATGGCTGATGATATTAAAAAAAAAGAACAGAGAATACAAAATTATATTAAATCAAATGAATTAATTCTTGAATTTAAATATAATAAAAGGGACTAAAATTGTAAGTTGACATTTTTATATATGTGGCGGAATGATTGTCATGGTGTGGTTTTAAAACAGTTGAAAATTGACCTAAACGGGAAAGGTAACAGTGATGGGGTTGGGCAAACCAATTAAGGTACTCTCGCCCTTTTGTATTGAAACAGCTTGTCACTGAATTTATTCCTTCAATTTTTTTCCATTTTAATGAGACGAAGATAATAAAGTATCCAAAGTTTGAAGATTAATTTTTTTCAATAAAAATATGTAATTTAAATAAAAAAAACATTAAATAAAAAATATTAATTCAACTTCAATTTCTTGTTACTTAAAATATATTATTGAGAAAATAAGAAAATATATTTTTTACAAAAGGTAATAGAATAGTTTTAAATATATTTTTTATAAAATTTATTTATCGAAAACATCTAAAATAATTAAAGATCTAAATTAAAAAATTAACTAAGAAAATCAGCCGTGACATTCTAATTGAGACGTATAACATCTTGGGTAAACTATATATTTAGTACTTAAATTATTAATTTTGTTCTATTTTGGTACTCAAACTTTATTTTTTTCAAAAATATACCTAACGTTTAGTTTAAATTTCAATTTGATATCGTTAAAAAATTAACAGAATTACTGACGTGACGTTTTTTTTTTATTTTTTCAATGATGACATGACATTATTTTATGGCGGCACGTCAACATCACCGTTATGTTTTTAACGGCGGGATGTCAAAATGAAACATAAAATAAATATTAAGTATGATTTTGAAAAAAAGGTACTAAAACAGAATAAAAGTAATAATTTAGATACTAAACATGTAGTTTACCTTAAAATCTTAAAATGCGAAGACATTAAAGTAATTTAACTATATTTTTATACAACTCCTATAAACTATTTAATTCTCCTCAATTTTCTAAATTGAAGGATAATGTGTATTTAGATATTCTCAGATTTGAATCTTTGGAGTTGTACAATAGTTAAGGAAATTTTGTTTTTCTTTGGTAATCTGAGTTTAAAAAAAAGAGAGAAAATGCCACATGGTATGCTTGTTGGGGGGTGAAATGGAACCAAGGCATGATGGCCGCATAGGTCTCTTAATTTAATGTAGATCCCACAATAGCATCATTTGTAGTTTGGGTTAGCTTATGATAGATACTTGCTCCAAATTATGTCATGGTCCACACGCTTGGCTCTCTCCCCTCTCCCAACGAAGTTGTGCACCTTTACGTGCCTCTCAAATTTGCATGAATATACCTTTTTCTCAACTCTAAAGAAAAAGAAAAGGCAAGCTTTTAGAGAAGCCCTTTTCATTTCCTTTCTATAATATTCAAGGACAAAAGTCTCGCATTTTATTAATACGAGTTAGTTAATTGATTGAGATATTAATATTTTAATAAGAATTAAAACTCGAGTCTCATCGGTGATCTCATGTGGTAGATGATATAAAAGTATCAATTCTGAATCCATCTTAGCGATAAAAGGAATTTTATTTTCTTAAAGGTTACGAGTTCAAACACTCTATACGATCAGTAACATGTCTTGACCCTAAACTTAAAGTGTTTATAGGTCAAGTCAAGTTTTGATCATATTAGACTTGCATGATAAATAAATATCACATTTCAATTATATTAATCGACTAATCCAGATCGGGTATTGTATAGACTCATTACAGGAGTGACCTTTCTACCCCCAATTTACTTCATTCATAATGTTAATTCAAACATCTGATATTGTTAAAGAATCTAATACCCGTCTCACTAAACCAACTTCTTATTGGTTAATTAACCTTTAATGTATGATAAAGAAATATCATTATTTAAACGTTCCTCTTCTAACATGTTTTTCATCAAACTAGTGACAATCAAGTTCATTGCTTTTCTATAATAGACTTGATTTATAGACGTCAAAATGAGTCTTTATGAGTGAAATGCATGGATGAGCAATCATGATAGACATTGAAGCTCTATAATTGATAGAAAATTTAATCGACACTGTTAATCCTTATATTAACTATGAAAGAGAAAAAGAAAAAAGAAACCAAAAGCTTAGCTAAGCCATTACATATATTTTTATTTTTTAATAAAATATTTTTAAATATCATTTTGAATTTACTTTCACTAGTTTAAATATAAAATATTTGTATATTATTAGAAATTAAACTAATTAAAGTTAAATAAGAATGAAATTCATTCATATTTGAATGATTATGAGTTTTTGAGCTTGTGAAATACAAAATGATCCTAGCAAATAAATTTATAAAATATAAAATTAAATTAAATAAATTTGAAATCAAACGAAACATTATGGTTCAAATTATTTTTTCATAGTTTTAAGCTTCGTTTAATATTTTTTTTAAAAAAAAATATACTTTTGGAGTCATAAATAATACTAAATAAATAACTTCGGGAAAAAATGCATTTGAAAAGCACTCTTTAATCCAAATGTAAAATTTAAAAAAAAATTAAAAGTAATTTTAGAGTCAAAATTATAATTTCAACCTCATATTATACTATGGTTTAGGTTTATTTGCAATTTATAAATTAATAAACTTTTATCAATAAATACTTACATGATTAATAATTATTTGTCAGTTTGAAATTTTATATCTCATTATATCAATATTTTAGATAAAAATCATTTCAAAATTTAATACTTTTATGAAACACATTCAATCATTATAAACTTATTTATTTATTAGTTAATTAAATATGTTTTACACTTTTTCATAATTTAAATGATTATCTATATTATAATATTAAAGTATCAATTAAATTTATATTTTTTTAACTTACAACATTATATCTAAAACGATCATTTATCTTCTCAAAATATTTTAATAACCAAATAATTCAAAATACTTTCTCACCGTACTTTTCAAAAGTAATGTTAAACTAGTCATTAGTTTTATTTTACTCGATCTTACTTTAGATATAGATCTAATTTCCCACCACCAAAGAGTAACCAATTGAAATAGTAGCTTATAAATGGTTTAGTGAGGACCATTGTCTATGATAAGCAAAAGTTACCGAATTGAGTGGAAGAAAAGGAATTGGCATGTTGCTTGGCAAAAAGATTTTCCAAAGAACCATTGTTAGGTAAAGCTATCCAAAAGTAATATAATTCTCTCTCTCTCTCTCTCTCTCTCTCTCTCTTCCAACTAAGCATGTCACTATAATGGGAGAGACCTATGGATGGACAACAAGCTTGTGGACAAAACAATCATGGTCACTACCACCACTCTTGTAGATGAGCCTTTGGGGTCTTGCCAATTGCCCATCCCTTCCCACACAAGCATTTGATAAATAAAATTAAAATTTTTTGGAACTCATTTTTTAGGGTAAATTACCTATTTGATCACTCACCTATTACTTAGTTTCTGTTTCGGTCACCCTACTATTATTTTTTTAAAACCATGCATAACGTTACGTTTTGGTTCTGTTTTAGTCACGTGTTGTTGAAAAATTAACAGTGATGTTGATACTGACGTGTCATCATAAAGTAATGTCATATCAATATTGAAAATAATAATAATAAATGTCACCTTAACATCATCGCTAATTTTTAACGGTGGGTGACCAAAATAATATCAAAATATAATGTAGGATATTTAAAAAATATTAGTTGAGTGACCAAAATAGAAATTAAGTAATAGGTGGATGATCAAATAGGCATTTTATCATTTTTCTAATAACATGATTATAAGTAATATTTGTATTTAATGTTAAATCTGGCTAAACTAATGTACACCAACAAATAAAACTGCTTGTGTTCTTTTGGAACTCAAACACATTACTTATTATGAGATATCTTTTGGGGTGAATAATTAGGCATTTCAACCTTCAAAGATTGGTCCTTGAACCAAAACATTTTACGTTAATAATATATATTTATAAACATTAATTCAACAAATAAATTATAGGTGGAGTTATATACAAATCAATTAATTTTTTATTTGTTAATCAAATAATTGTTTTTACTTATTTTATTTAAATGTTATATAAAAGTATAAAAACACAAGAACACCACTAGAGTAATGTACGGTTTAAAAGGTCCCTACACTATTTCAAATTGATAAAAGTTGTAATTAAAGGGACTAAAAATTATTTTGCCTTTTTCATAGTTACCAAGTCCACAATTAATGGTAAAAATTCATGTCATCATTTTAATCGTAACAACTAATGGTATTATTAATTTAGATCCACTATTAATATTTTACAGATTAAAGTAAATGGATTATATCTCAAATTTCATCATAATAAAGGGTACTAACCAATTTACCCGGGGGTTAAAGGATCAATGTTGTTTATAGAAATCATGGGTTCGAACACCAACGGTTACAAGGGTGATTGAGCATTCATCGTCAAATGGTTGAGAGTATTTAAAACAAATATTACTATGTAATCACCTTTAGTTTATTAATAAAAAAACATAATAAAGAGGTTGAAAATTAAACCAAATGGTTAATGGCCTCAATATTAGCCTGAATTTATTACCCATAATAGATACTTGAAGCCATTTGAGGTCAAAGAAAGGAAACCTTAATTCCATCAAGCCAGCGGAAATGAGCCAAACAAAAAATGTTA